GCGCTTCCTGGACTTGGGTGGCTATTTCCTTTCCCATGTTAAGGAAGTTGTCGACTATAATCTCTTCAAATATTTTCTCGAGTCCTTTCTCTCTCTCTTCTCCTTCTGGGACCCCTATAATGTGAAAGTTGTTGCGTTTAATGTTGTCCCAGAGGTCTCTTAGGCTGTCTTCATTTCTTTTCATTCTTTTTTCTTTATTTTGTTCTGCAGCAGTGAATTCCACCATTCTGTCTTCTGGGTCACTTATCTGTTCTTCTGCCTCAGTTATTCTGCTATTGATTCCTTCTAGTGTAGTTTTCATTTCAGTTATTGTATTGTTCATCTCTGTTTGTTTGTTCTTTAATTCTTCTAGATCTTTGTTAAACATTTCTTGCATCTTCTCGATGCAAGGATCTGAAGGCTGGCCCACTCCTGGGAGACAGGGGACTCCTGACAGCGACTTGGGCTTGAGGCCTCCGCAGGCCTCGTTGAACTTCCGTCAGGCCACAGGGCATTAGGAGACTTCGCCCACCTTTCCTTCCCTCTCTCCCTCACTGGGGTTGGCCTTGGTGGGTTGACAGCTCCCTCAGCCTCCCCAGGCTCCCTCCGCCTCGTCTCACAGGCCAAACTCTGGCCTGTTAAATCTGTTTCTCAGAGGAGCCAGACAAACACAGCTTGTAACTGTTTTTCGATACAGTTGCTTTCTTTCATAATCAAACATACTTTATGTTATGCGTTTAAAAACGCTATTCTGTGATGGGGTCCACACATTACACCAGATGCCAAAGAGAACAGTTCAGAACCCCTGCCTTCTTGTTTGAGCTACTGTGAACTGGGTTTTCTGTTATCTGTATCCAAAACATCTCAACTCTTGGGAGATTTCAGTGAAAAAGTGTGAGAAGCTCTGGTTGGGGTAAACCCGCGTAAGAGAATGTTAAAACTCGGCTCTTACCATCCTGCACTTTGGACAGAGGCCCCCCAAAGCCCAGAGCAGCACAGTGGTTGCCCAGGATGCTCACAGCCCTGAGTGAAGCGTTAGACCAGTTCTGTGGACACACAGAGAGACGGACAGACAGGGTCCTGAGAGCCCAGCACCTGCTTCCTAGCCACACAAGGGAGGCTAGAGGAGCAAGCGTGGTCCCTATGATCTGGGTCCTGTCCGTTCCCCTGACAAACCAGAGGGCCTGGGCTGGTGGGAGGGGAGAACACTTAGATGGAAAAAAAAGTTCGGATTGAGATGGGCTTTACACTAGACTGATGGGGTGGCGTGAAGGGGGTGATGCTGCCTGCTCCCTTCTGAGTCCAACTCAAACCCCTCTTTCTAGGACTGCTCTGCCGTCACGAAGAGGAAGGTGGAGGCTCGCAGGCCCTGGGGAACAGGGCAGAGGAGACATCTGAGGGAAAAGGCAGGCGGGTGGCTGCCCCAACTGGCCCGGCCACTGCAACTATGTGAACTACGTGAACATTTTTTCTTCTTTAACTTTTCCCCACACCAGAGGAATCCAAACAACAGGATCCCAGAGCTAATGATCTAGCTCAGTGGTTCTCAGAGTGTGGTACCCAGACCAGTAGCATCCTTATAACCTGGTATGATGGTTAATGCGTGTGTCAACCTGGCTGGGCAATGGTGTCCACTTGTTTGGTCAAATGCTCGTCTAGATGTTGCTGTTAAGGTATTTTATAGAGGTGATTAACATCTAAAATCAGCAGACTTTAAATAAAAGATATCAGTCTGGATCATCTGGGCGAGCTTCATCCAATCAGGTGAGGGCTTAAGAGCAAAACTTGAGGCTTCTGGAAAAAGAAAGCAATTCTGCCTCAAGACTGTAACAGAGAAATCCTGCCTGAGTTTTCTGCCCTCACAGATTTCAGACTTACCAGCTCCCGCAATATCACATGGCCAATTCCTTATACACACACTAACGGTTCCATTTCCATGGAGATCCCTGACCGCTGCACCTGGGAATTTGTTAGAAATGCATATTCTCAGGCCCCACACCAGGCCTACTGAATCCAACACTCTGGGGGTGTGTGCTTTAATAAGCTTTCCAGAAAATTCTCAAGTTTGAGAACTGCCCCTCTATATTCTCACTACTCAAAGTGTTGTCTGTGGACCAGCCCCAGTGGCATCACTGGGAGGTGGTTAGCAATGCAGACTCTCAGGCCTGCTGAAAGGGGCTCTGCATTTTAGCCAGATCCCTGATGATTTGTGAGCACGTTAACATTTGGAAGCACTGACCCAGTGCTCCCCAGGGGCAGGGGGAAGAGGCAGTGTTGTCTGGACTCCCGATGATAACAATAAAAACGGTTAATTATTGGGCACCTAAGTGCCAAGCCCTTTATACAGCTTGTATAATTCATGTGTAACTTCACTGAACCCTCTCACAACCCTGTAAGGCAAGTATACCCATTAAGGCCGTTTTACAGACGAGGAAATGGACTGAGAGGGGTTTAGTAACTTACTCAGGATCACACAGCTCATAAGTGGTGGATCAGAATCAGAACCAGGCTTCTAACTAGAAGCACCCACTCTCCACGCCAGACAGGGCGCCTCAGCGATTCAGGAGAGAGGACACACACACACACACACACACACACACACACACACACACACACACACATGGAGCCAAGATTCCTCCTCTTAATTACAGCTGTCTCTGCTGCTAACAAAGGCGGGGGCTGGGAAAGGAATCAACTTAATATGCAATTGCTTGTTCCCAATTTGCACAAATTACCATTTGTCTGAGGAGATAATGGTGGGAATTGGGATCCGCCCGGTGGGTTGCAGTGTTCATCTGCCTAACACCCTTCTGAGCCCTCCTCGCTGGCCTTCCCGCCTTCCTGGGAAGGGGGCCGAGCCTTCCAGTGAGACTTCAGGAGGCCTGGGTAAATCCTGGCTCTGTCCTCTTTGGGAGCACTTGGTGTTTTTTGCCAGTTTCCCCCTCCACTCACCTGTGCTATTGGCTAAATCTGCATCAGCCAACACTAGCCCATCTCCAGCTCCACAAGGGGGGCTGCCCCCTCCTACCTTACCCCGAACTCCCTTCCTGGGGCCAAGCACATTTCCAATCCCAGAAAATACTAGGGGGGCTTTGATGATGCCATTCAAGGCTATGGTGGCATTGTGGTGAGAGCCAGTCCTGGCACGAGGAAGGGCTGAGGGGCCGGCAGGTGCTCTGGTACCCTTGCCCGCCACTCAGTTTCTTGATCTAGGGCTTCCTCCAGATGCAAGGCCTTTGGTCATGCAGTTCCCTCTTCCTGGAATGCTCTTCCCTACCTCTGCCCTTCTCCAGGCTGACTCCTCTGCATCCTTCAGGTTGAAGCTCAATACTAATTCTTTTTAAAAAATTTATTTGTTTTCTTTTGTTTGTTTGTTTTTCAATACTAATTCTTATAACAACAACAACTATCATTCATTGAGGACCTAATATGTGCTGTACCTGTGTTAACTCATTTAGTCACACAACATTATGTGATAGGTGCTATAGTTATTCTCACTTTGCAGATGGGGAAACCGGGACACAGAGAAGTTAAGTAATCTGCCTGAGGTCACACAGTAGCTGGTACAGCTAATATTTGAACCAAGGGGTTTGGTCTCAGAGCCCAATCTCTCACTTCTTCCGAGAAGCCTGCTGAAGGGCTGGGGGAAATCCTCCTGCTGTTTCCTCTGCTGGCACCATTCTCCTTATTGACACTTAGCACAGCTATAATCACACGTGTATCCTCTGCATACTGTCTGCCCTCAAGGAGGGCAGAGACCCACGTCTGACTTGCTGAGAGCTGTATCCCCACCATCTAGTTCTGTGCCTGGCACATGGCAAGTGCTCCATAAGCATTTGTGGGATGCTTGAATGAATAGGTCTCAGGCTCCTCATCTTTAAATTGGGACTGGTAATACCTCCTCCCAAGGACCATTACAAGAAGTGGGGCAATGCAAGTAAAGCACTTCTCACAGCCTGGCCATTGTTTTCATTCATTTCAGGAAGAGAGACTCTGGATTCCCTGCCTTGGTGTCCTGAGGATCACTTGTTTATCTAGTGAACATTTATTGAGCATCTACTGTATACCAGCAGTCATAGGTGCTGGGTCCACACACTGCAGAGAGGAGGAGATGTAGTCAGTCCTTTAGGGCAGTGGTCCCCAAACTTTTTGGCACCAGGGACCAGTTTTGTGGAAGACAATTTTTCCCACGGACAGGGGTGAGGGTGGGGGTGGTTCAGGCAGTAATGCGAGCGATGGGGAGCAATGAGTAGCGGCAGATAGAGCGATGGGGAGTGATGGGGAGAGATGGGAAGAGATGGGGAGAGATGGGGAGCGATGGGGAGAGATGGGGAGCGATGGGGAGAGATGGGGAGCAATGGGGAGTGATGGGGAGAGTTGGGGAGCGATGGGGAGAGATGGGGAGCGATGGGGAGAGATGGGGAGAGATGGGGAGAGATGGGGAGAGGTGGGGAGAGGTGGGGAGCAATGGGGAGAGATGGGGAGCAGTAGATGGAGCGATGGGGAGTGATGGGGAGAGATGGGGAGCGATGGGGAGTGATGGGGAGAGATGGGGAGAGGTAGGGAGCAATGGGGAGCGATGGGGAGCGATGGGGAGCAATGGGGAGCAATGGGGAGCGGCAGATGGAGCAATGGGGAGAGATGGGGAGTGATGGGGAGTGATGGGGAGCGATGGGGAGTGATGGGGAGCAATGGGGAGAGATGGGGAGCAATGGGGAGGGATGGGGAGTGATGGGGAGTGATGGGGAGAGATGGGGAGCAATGGAGAGCGATGGGGAGCGGCAGATGAAGCTTTGCTCCCTCGCCCGCCGCTCATCTCCTGCTGTGCATCTGCTTCCTAACAGGTTCCGGACCGGGAGTTGGGGACCCCTGCTTTAGGGAAAGGCAGATGGTGCATCTAAGGCTGAATTCCCAGGCAAAGTCCTGTCCTTCTCCATTGGCAGACTCCTGTGTCAATGGAGGATCCCTGCTCTGGTCCCTGGGACACCCCCTCTCCCCAGTCCCCAGCACTGGGCACTCACAGGCTTCATGATCCAGGTGATTCCTGGGTTTTTGCGAAACTCCTCCACAAACAGACGGTACTCGCAGGGCATCTCAAAGGTTTTGGGGAAGAAGTCGCACTTGGCTGCCTCCAGCTTTCCCGCCTCGCGCTCCAGCTGTTTCCGGAAGCGCTTCAGGTTCTTCACCATGTAGTTCTTGCGGGTCAGCTGAGCAGCATGATGGACAGGCAGGCCATTGGCGCTCATGCCCACTGCCCTGCACCAACCGTCCCACCAACTGCCCCTCTCCAACCACCCCACCAACTGCCCCCCACAGCCCCCATTCTCTGTATGGTAAGAGTAACAATAAGAGGGACTCCCCTGGTGGTCCAGTGGGAAGGACTCTGTGCTCCCAATGCAGGGTGCCTGGGTTCAGTCCCTGGTCAGGGAGCTAGATGCTGCATGCCGCAACTAAGAAGCCCGCATGCTGCAACTAAAAGATCCCACACGCCACAACGAAGATCCCACGTGCCTCAACTAAGACCCGGCCCAGCCAAAATAAATAAATAAAAATAAATCTTAAAAAAAAAAGGATTAAAAAAAAGAGTAACAATAAGAGTAACTTTGACTGAGAGCCTGCTATTCTATAATTATCCCCACTTTACAGGTGAGGAAACTGAGGCTCAGAAGGTTGTCAGTTGCCCAGAGCTATCCAGCTAACAGGCAGCACAGCCAGGGTTTGACCCGGCCTGTCTGATGCCAAAATTCTTTTTCTAACTGCTAAGCTGCACTAAACTTTTTAAATCTCCCACCACTGGCCCCTCGAGTCCCATCTTTGTGGTATGGTTCCTCCCAGAGCTCTCTCCCATCTCCAGACTCCAAACAGCTCAACTTGCCTCACCCTGAAATCACATAATCCCTCAAGCATCCTGCTTCTTTAGCCTTCGCACCTGAAGTCAGACGGCCCATGACCTCAGTCCCCTCCCCAAGGTGGGCTGTTCCTCAGGTCTGAGATCCCTATTCCCTCACACTATTTAGCTCATCGTGAATCTAGGGCACATGTCTCTCACCTGGCATGTACCCCAAATTCCCTTGTACTTTTCCATTCTGGTCCTTGGACCCCCAAGCCAGCCCCTGCTCATTGCCACACCCAGTCCCCTGGGCCCACCCAGCTCACCTCGTAGTGGTTTCGGAAGTGACTGATCCGCACGTGCTCATCCATGTAGGTGTGGTCGAAATTCTCCCGGAGCCAGCTAACATCACACCAGTAGAAATCCCACTCCCCTTCACTGGGGGTGGGGGTGGGACAAAAGTCAGGACCTGAGGACCTCAGCACTCCTGGAGATGTGGGGCCCAGGGAGGTGCAGCTGAGGGGTAAGTGGTGGTGTGTCTGTCCATCAGGTAAGTCTCAAGGAGGTGGCCTCGGGCTGTCGCTGCCCACCATGTACTTTGTGAGGCCAGAGTGAAAACTACAGAAATGTCCCTGCAAAAATCCAGGCTACTGGTTTCCTTCAAACAATCAGCAGATCTGGCCACGTTGAGCCCAGATGCCCCCTGGCACCCACCGCCTTAGACAGGGCACACCCTCTCCAGATCACAGTCCCCACCATGCCCTATGGCCCATGACAATGGGCCAACCTTACGTGGTCATGTTACCTGCCTGGGCTCTGGAAGCATCCAAGTAGCCACCCCTGAGCCCACACGACCAAGCAGTGGAAACAGGCAACATTTATAAGCTCTTCCCAGTTCAGAAAGCCCTCCTCTCACTGAATCCTCAGAGCAGCCCCAGAAGTGACTACGATCATGCCTGGATCCCTAAGACGGGGACAGCCTTGCTCAGTGAGGACATGGCAGCCTCAGGATTCACACCCAAGCCTGCCCGACTCCAGATTCTGACCCTGTTCTTCACCACCTTGCCAGAGAGGGGGACAGGAAACCAGACTGATCTACCAAATCCAGATACCAGAGCTGGAGTACACAGAGGAGGCGCTTCAAAAAGACTTGACAGGAAATGAAATGCACAACCATGATTACTTCCAAATTTTTTAGTAAAAAATTACAGATTTAACTGAAGCCCCGCGTATATTCCTGACTGATTCTATCTCCTACTCTCCTGTCCAAAAGGAAGCCATTAGACTGAATTTGGAATCATTTCTATGAGTGTCTTTATAGTTTTACTGTGTATATATGTGCGTATCCATATGTGGCACATGGCATCGTTTGGCATGTTCTTAAAACTTTCTAATGGCTGATACTTACTTCCACTTCCCATGTGCCAGACACTGTTCTAAGTACTTTACAAATATTAACTCATTAATCCTCATAGTAACTGTTAAGTGTTAGGTTCTTTTATTATGCCCATTTTAAAGATGAGTGAAGTGAGGCACAGAGAGGTTAGGGAGCTCACCTAAGTTCATAAGCTAGTAAGTGGCAGAGCAGGACTGGAACTCAGGCCATCGGGTTCCAGATTCCGAGCTCTGTGGTTAGAGCTACTCTTGTCTATTTCCTTTCACAATTTGCTTTTTTTTTTTTAACCCACCTTTTGTTTTAGTTGAATGAATAATGGATGAATGAATGAATAATGAAGTATTCATTCATTCATACAACACATAGGTGTTGAGGCTGTCTTGGTGTCAGAGACAATGTTGGATGCAAGGATATAGGGGGAACAAAAACACCTGGCTAGGTGGTACATACAGTCCTGTGGGGAAGATAAAAAATAAACAAGGAAACAAATACACAACTCTCTAATGAGGAATTGTGAAATGTTATAACCCAGTTGGAATAACCCAGTTGGAGGCCATGAGGCAGGGCAGCTGAGGAACCTATTTAGGTGGAGGCTACCCTGTGGAGCTGACCTTTCAGCTTAGATCTGAATGGTAAGGAGGGACAGCCAGATCAAGGGCAGTGGGGAGAGGGTTCCAGGAGTGGGAAGGATAGGAACTGAGGCCCTGAGGTTGGAAAGGGCTCATTCAAGGATATGAAAAAAAAGCCAGAGTGGAGGGAGAAACGTAAGGGATGACACTGAAACTGGAGTAGGGCCCAACAAACAGGGCCTTGTAGACCATGATGTGGATTTTGGATTCTTTTCTAATTCCACAAGTTTGTTCATTTTGTACACCATCTTCATGATTATCACAGTCAAGTTGCTCTTAAATCACCCAGGAAAACATTAAACTGCTCAACAAGGCCAACAGGAAATCCAGGTTCTTTCTAACTTCTCATTCTGCCATCCTTAACATGTTGTCTTCATGCTCATCATCTCAAGGTCACAAGATGGTTGCTGCAGTTCCAGGCATCAAGGACAACTTTCTTTGTGGGAAGCAAGGGAGGGGACAGCTCTGGCCACATCTGTTCCAAACTCTGACCTAACAGGCTGATGGTCTGAATTGGGACCTCGTTCTATCTGGAAATACCAGACCCCAGCTTAGGTCCTAAGGAAAAGGTCTCACATTCACCGAGCCATGTCTGGTGTAAAGGCCCTGGCCTCTAGCCTTTCCTGACTTGAGGACTCTCGAGGCAATTTGGGATCAGCCAGGAAACAACCTGCTTCATGGACTCCCACACTATCAGCACCAGACGAACCCTCAGACCTTCTTCCACTTGACCATGGAGCAAGGCTGAGGAGAAACAGGGGGCAGCCTCAGATCACGTGGCAGGTCAGGACAGTACCTTTTCCCATATACCTGCCGGTCACCTCCCCCGCCTCATCCTCCACTACATCCAGTTCTTCTGGATCCAGGGAAGGAACACTCATTCTGATATTAGCGTGATACATGAGAGAACCAAGAAGGAAAATCCACAGTAGCTGCTATCATCACCACCATCACCATCATCACCAACACTGTAATACTCCCCAAAGTGCCAGAGAGAGGACTCTGCCATCTTGGATTCCCCATACCACGCTTGCCACCGTCAGCCAATTCCTAATTTTTTTGTGGGATGATTTAGTAAGGGTCTGTCTCCTCTGCTAGACTCCAGCACCAGGCAGCAGGAAGCATGCATTCACCTATTCACTCATTTGTTCCTTCAATTACTGAGAGGCTGCTAGAACAGGGAGGCTGAACCTGGGACTCTGCAGACAGCCAGGCTAGGTGAAAACCCTAGCTCAAGCCCTGACAAGATGGTATATTCCAACACTTTCCAACACGGTGTATTTTTCCACTTTCCAACATGGTATATTTTTCCTCTTTTTGTCCAGTTTTTTCATCAGGAAAATGGAGATGATGATAGCACCTACTGGAAGGTTTACTGGGATGATTCAAAGAGGTCATGCGTGTAAAGTGTGGAAGAGTGTCTAGGAGGCTTAGTTGTTGTTATGCAACAAATATTTATTGAAGACCCTGGCAGGGTAGCTGGTTGCCCTCACCCCTCATATCTATTCTCTCCTTTTTCTACAGTCATAGAATTTCCAACATTTACCTAGAAAATGTAGTCTACATTTTTCAGATTCCCTTGCAGCTAGGTGTGTCCACATGGCTAAGTTCTGGCCAGTGAAATGTGAGGGACTTCTGGGTTGTGTCCTTCAAGGGTAGGACATGCCTTTTCTTGTCTCCTTCCTACATCCTGCTGCTTGGAATGTACAGGAACTCCACCTCAGACCATGAGAATGAGGGTCTCACTCAAAGGATAGCAGAGTGGAAAGACGGAAGCAGATGGGTCCCACATTTCCATACCATCTTTGAACCTCCTATATCTGGACTTCAATGGGAGGGGTAAATAAACTTCTAGTCTGTCAAAGCCTCTTTTATCTTGTGTCTCTGTTACATGCATCCAAACCTTAACCTTCACTAATATTAACACCTACTACGTGCCAGGGATTGTTTGCTTTTTCATCTCAGTATCCCCAGGGCCCAGCATAGAAGAAGAAATGTAGGCTTAGGGGTCAAAAAACTTGTCCAAGGTCACAGAACTAGTAAATGGCCAGGACCTGCCATCACCGGAGGATTCACCCCACAGGTCTGTGATGGTTGCATAGAGAGCTATAGGACACTGGCTGTGGAATAGTCAAACTGAACTGGGTTTGAATCCCACTCTGACACTTAGGTGCTGTGCGACCTTAAACAATTGACTTAATATTTCTGAACATATTCACATCTTTCTGGATGGTTATAAGGCTTCAATAAGACAGAGATGACATCAGTAATGCACCTAACACATTGTGAATGCTAAATAAATGTCGGCCCCTGTCACAGCCAAATTGGGACAAGTCCCAGTGGCCACCCAAGGGAGCTGGGACAAAAACGAAGGGAGACAAGGACCTGTGAGACAAAGGGAAGGAGAAACAAGGCTGGGGGTGAGGGCTTCTTACTCCTTTACTTCCACCCATCCTGGCCTGTGGTGAAGGACATCCATGAGGGTATTCATAGGAGTGGTCTTGAACCGGATTGATGCTCTCTGCTCTCTGCAAGACATGGCAATGGAACACTTGCTCAGAATCAACAATTCCCTAGGACAGTCCAGGGATAGGAAAAAAGGGAAAGGAAGAAAGGTCAAGTTCCGTACATGGAAATGCCAAAACATAGAATTACTGAATTTTAGAATTTAACATCATAGCGTGAAACAAAATAATCAAATTGAGAATGATAGAATCTTTGAATCATTGAAAAATAATAGCAATCATTGTCTTCAGTGCCTTTCATGGTCTGGTTGCTTTACATATGCCATGGCTAATCCTTATACTAAATGATACGTTTTTGCAAATCCCCCTTTCTGTCACTCATCTGAGAAGATGGAATGGATATACTTTTCCCTCTTCCTCCTATCAGGACAACTAAAACCCCAGGACATTAGATATAAAACAAGTATAAGAAGACCCTGAAAGGTGGACAGAAGAAGGCAGATCGGCTAAGGACCTCAGGACCCATGGAACAGCATGTGGTGAATTCCCTGGGTTCTCTCTTTGCCTCATAGATCCCAGATGTGGAGATGAAGAAGCTAGCAAGTCTGAAACACCAATGGGCACAGACAAAAAAAACCCTCCAGCAAAAGCCTGCTCTCTCCAGCTGACAAAATCAGGAAAGGAACACTTAAGACAATAACTTCTCTACTCTGGCCAACCCCAGCAGAAACAAATCTGTGACCTACGCTCACTTATGCTAGCAAAGGCTGAGTGGGGAATCTAGACTTCCCACCAGGCTGTAACAAGGTACCCAATATCCCCCCAAGACCCCTGGCTAGGCTGGTGTCAGAGAAGGTCAAAGACGTAACCGGGACTTTCATCCCTAGCAGGTGGTAGTGAGGTGCCCACCCCTGCTGTGTCAGTGGAGACCATGTGCCTGGGCTTCCACCCCCACCTGGAAGTAAGGAGGCACCCCTCTCCCTTGGGCTGATGTCAACGGAGGCCTAGTGGAGAGTCAGGACTTTCAATACCACCCAGTGGTAATGAGGCTGCACTTCCTGTGGTGTTCATGTGAGTCAGGTAGGGAGCAGTAGCAAGGAACTCCTAACCCTCCTGGCCAGGGTGGTATCAGCAGAGGCCTAGTGGAACCAGAACTCCCATTCCACCCAGCAGTAAGAAGGAACCTCCTTTACCCTCAAGTGTCAATGGAAGTCAAGTGGGGAACCTGGACTTCTACACTCTATGGTAGTAATGAGGTGGTACCATGCCCCCTTCCCTGGCCGGAGTGATGTCAGAAAATGTCACCTAAAAGAGGCTTAAACAAGATCCAGAGTTCTATGGCATAATACCCCAAATGTTCAGGTTTCAACTGAAAATCACTTGTCATACCAAGAATCAGGAAAATCTCAATGTGACTAAGAAAAATCAATAGATACCCAAGAGGGAAGAGATATGGGAACATATGTATATGTATAACTGATTCACTTTGTTATAAAGCAGAAACTAACACACCATTGTGAAGCAATTATACTCCAATAAAAATGTTAAAAAAAAATCAATAGATACCAATGCCAAAATGGCAGATGTGTTAGAATGATCTGACAAACATCTTAAAGCAGCCATCATAAAAATGTTTCAATGAGTAATTAAGAACACATTTGAAGAATATGTGAAGAATACTGGAAGAAAGCAAGTGTGTCCGCTCTTACAACTCTTATTCAACATAGCACTAGAAGTTCTAACCAGTGCAATAAGTCAATAAAAGGGACATAGATCAAAAAGGAAGAAAGAAAACTGTCCCTTTTTGCAGATGACTGTGTAAAAATTCCCACGGAATCTAAAAAACAATTCATGAACTAATAGGTAAGTACAGTGAGATCACAGGATATAAGATGAATATACAAATCAGTTATATTTCTATATACTATCAATGAACACATGAACTCTGAAATTAAAAATACAATTTACAACTATGACTTTTAAAAAAAGGAATATTTAGGTGCAAATCTAACAAAACATGTGCAGGACGTAGGTACTAAAAACTACAAAATGCTGATGCAAAAATTCAGAGAAGGTCTAGATAAATTGAGAACCCTACCATGTTCATGGATTGGAAGACTCAGCAGAGTACAGATGTCAATTCTTCCCAAACTGGTGTGCAGACTTAATGCGATTCCTGGGATCAAAATCCCGGTAAGATTTTTTTGTAGCTATAGATAATTCTAAAATGTATGTGGAAAGGCAAAGATATTAGAACTAGAATATCTAAAACAATTTTGAAAAGAAGAATAAAGTGGGGTAAATCAGTCTAACCAATTTCAAAACATTATGTAGCTACAATAATCAAGACTGTGTGGTATTCACAGAGAAAGAGATACAAAGACCAAGAGAACAACCAACCAACCAACAACAAACAAACAAACAAGAGATGGACCCACACAAATATGCCCAACTGAATTTTTAAAAATTATTTATTGGGCTGTGTGCGGGCCCTTAGCTGCAGCATGCGGGATCTAGTTCCCTGACCAGGGATCAAACCTGGGCCCCCTGCACTGGGAGCGTGGAGTCTTAACTGCTGGACCACCAGAGAAGTCCCTGCCCAACTGAATTTTGACAAATGAAAAAAAGCAATTCAATGGAGGAAGAATAGCCTTTTCAATAAATGGTGCTGCAGAATTGGATATGCACATGCAAAAAATGAACCTAGGCTTAAACCTCATACTATGTAAAGTATAAAGTACTTTAACTCAAAATGGATCACAAACTTAAGTGTAAAATGTAAAATTATAAAACATAGAGGAAAATCTTTGGGATCTAAGAGCTAGGCAAAGAATTTTTAGATTTGACACTACGAGCATGGTCCATAAAAGGGGAAACTGATAAATTGGATAAACTGATAAACCTTCAAAATTAACGATTTCTGCTCTTTAAAGGACTCTGTTTTAAGTCAATGAAAAGGCAAGGTACAGCCTAGGAGAAAATATTTGCAACCACATATTTGACGAAGGACTACTATCTAGAATACATAAAGAATTCTCAAAACTCAACATTAAAAAGAAAATCCAATTAGAAAATGGGCAAAAGACATGAACAGATATTTCACCAAAGAGGATGTACAGATGACAAATGAGCACATGGAAAGATGTTCAACATCGTTTACCATTAGGGAAGTACAAATTAAAACCACAATGATATAGCAATACACAAGTATCAGAATGGCTAAAATAAAAAACTCTGACAACATCAGCTGCTGGAAAGGACACAGAGAAACCGAATCACTCATACATTGCTGATGGGAATATAAAATGGTGCAGCCACCTTTGAAAATAATTTGACAGTTTCTTAAAAAACTAAGCATGCAACTACCGTATAATCCAGCAATTGTACTCCTGGGCATTTACCCCAGTGAAATGAAAACTAACACACAGACCTGTACTTGAATGTTCATAACAGCTTTATTCATAATAGCCCCAGACTGGAAGAAAACCCAGATGTCTTTCAATAGGTAAGTGATTAAACGCATGGTGGTATATCCGTTCCCTGGAATACTAGTCAGCAATAAAAAGGAATGAACTGTTTATGCACTCAACAACCTGAATATCTCTAGCGAAGTTGCTGAGTGAAAAAGGCCAGTCCCAAAAGGTTAGTATATAATGTGTGATTCCATTATAAAAACTCTTTGGGGCTTCCCTGATGGCGCAGCGGTTGAGAGTCCGCCTGCCGATGCAGGGGACACGGGTTCGTGCCCCGGTCCGGGAAGATCCCACATGCCGCGGGGCGGCTGGGCCCGTGAGCCATGGCAGCTGAGCCTGCGCGTCCATAGCCTGTGCTCCGCAGCGGGAGAGGCCACAACAGTGAGAGGCCCACGTACCGCAAAAAACAAAAAAACCAAAGAAAACAAACAAACAAAACTCTTTGAAAGGACAAAATTATTGAAAAGAGAACAAAACAACAGTTGCTGGGGGTTAAAGATAGGGTACGTTGGGATGGGGAGGAAGAGGGGGAGGGAGGGGAAGTGGGTGTGGTTATAAAAGGCACTATGAGGGATCCTTGTGGTGGTGGAAATATTCCATATCTTGACTGTATCAATGTTAATATCCTAGTTGGATGCTGTGCTATAGTTTTACTCTGTTACCACTGGGGGGAACTGGGTAAAAGGCACATAAGATCTCTCTGTATTATTTCTTACAACTGCATATGAATCCACAATTGAAATGTTCAATTTTAAAAATTAACAGTTTTTTATTTTGGCTGCACAACTTGCAGGATCTTATTTCCCTGATCAGGGATTGAACCAGGCCCTTGGCAGTGAAAGTGCGGAGTCCTAACTGGACTGCCAGGAAATTCCCAACACAACTTTAGATGTCTGGATAATGGCTACCTTTATCGAGCAATGATTAGAAGAGGGCATGCTGGTGATGTTCTGTTTCCTGATGTGGGTATATTAAGTTTATGAAAATTCACTGAGCTGTAAAATTATGATATACTCAACTTTCTGTATATATAACAGAACTCTATAACAAAACATACCACAAATAAAGTTAAAGGACTACCTATAGATTAAGGAAAAATATTTGTGGTGCTTATAATCCATAAGAGATTTGGACCAAGTACATAAAGAAAGAGACAAACTCAATAGAAAAATGTCTAGAAGCTATGAACAGGCAATTAATAGCATAGGAAATTTAAATGACCAACAAGCATGTTAAAAGATACTCAACCTTACCAATAATTAAGAAATGCGAATTAAAATACCAAGGAGAGGACTTCCGCTTTGGGTTATGATGTAAAAGAATGTAAAAGACTTTCAATCCTATAGTAACGATGAGAAAAAAATGTACAAAATAAATATACTTGTCCATGGGGCTAGTGGAGAGCAATAGACAAAAGAAAACTTGATGAACTGATTCCAGAGAGAAACAAGGCCTTCATGGGGGGGAGCAGAGAGATGCAGCCATTTCCAGATCTGGGCTGGCTGCCTGGCCTGGGGTGGGCAAGTGGAGGAACAAGCCAGCCGTGGAAGAGA